GTACAGCTAGTTCGGATTAGGAAGCCTAATCCGAACTAGCTACTCCGTGCCGCGTGTAGCCACGCGGCACGGGGTTCGAACTAGCCAGGATTTAAAAATGGCGGCTCCCAGTTTATGCAAATGAAGCCCGGGAAATTCAAATCCCGGGTTTCATTTGCAAGTGCGGTATGCCTACATTACCCTCCTACTTCGAAATAGGAGGGTAGTGTAGACATACCCTAAGAGTACTGAGTACTTGGCAACCTGGAACCGCGTGTAGCCACGCGGCACGGGGTTCGAACTAGCCAGGATTTAAAAATGGCGGCTCCCAGTTTATGCAAATGAAGCCCGGGAAATTCAAATCCCGGGTTTCATTTGCAAGTGCGGTATGCCTACATTACCCTCCTACTTCGAAATAGGAGGGTAGTGTAGACATACCCTAAGAGTACTGAGTACTTGGCAACCTGGAATTGGAAGGTAGCTAATTAATGTATTTTACATCTGAATAGATCGAGATGTTTGTGGTCTTTATTCTGGGGAGAAGGGAATTGCGGTTGCTTTGCTTGGTGGTGGACAACATCAACCATGAGGGAGTTTGGTGTGGAAGTGGGTGTTTGTCTCCTCTATTTGGAGGGTGATCTTGGTGGTGACACATGGTTGGAGGATCTGCAGGAGTTTGTGTTGTTTTTCTTGCTCTTCTTGTAATGTGACTTCCTGTGCTGTAGCCACTTTCTTGAACAGTTCTTCAAATTGTTTTAGGTCATCCACTGGTGTTGGCATAGACGAGATGATTGCTTCATCCAGTGAAGAAGCGTTGCTGGCCAGAGACACCTCCTTACTGTTTGTAGAATCCAGCTCCTTGTCATCAGGGAGTTCCTCATCCCCTATGTCAGAGATCATCTCATGGGTCTGAAGGGGAAGGCACCGGATTGCCAGATTGGGCTGGTGTAGACTGAGCCATGTAGCACTGTCTTTAGTTCACCAAGGGATCCCATGGTGGCCAGTGTATGGAGGTAAGGTGGTGATAGATACGACAATGATTGTCCCTAAAAGGATTGCACCAGGCCCCCCGTGCCATCTTTCTATGGCTAGGTTCCAGGGGAAGTCTCCTTTAAGTAAGTGACGAGTGTTGGCATGAGAACCTGCAGTGTTGGCAGGTCTTGTTTCACTTTGTGTGAGGGAGGGGACAGGAGATGGAAGTGAATGGTCTGCTCTTTGGGTTAGTGAATGATCCATGCCAAGGAGCAGAGATTGTGGTACTGATGTGATCTCTATATCCTTATGACGGAGGAATTGCTGACTGTCATTTGGGCATTTATGTTTCTGTACTACCTTATTGGTGTCAGTCAGTGCCAGATGGGATTTCTCTACCAGTACTAAAGTCTGGGTTGTTTCTGGTGGAGGCGGTACGTCTGTGCACTTTGGCTTTGGTACCGAATTCTGAGTCTGTATCGATGGTGCCACAGAAGGGACATTGCATCTTGGCTCCAATTCACCATGTTTTGGTACCAACAATGTCCATGCCAAAGGTACCCACTGCGTCAGTGGTGCTGACTCTTGAAGAGCTTGGCAC